AACAAGTGGATTGTCAACAATTATGTTTCCTAGAAAAAGAATAATTTTGAGAATACTAACAAAGCTATTAATTTCTTGATAGTAATACAAAGAATAAGAATTCTAATGCCCACGAAGTACATGCAGTTTATATTCAAGTTTCAAATATAGTCTGTATCAATTATGTCATTTTCTCGGGTTTAAGAATTAAGTCTTCTAAAGAGTTTTTTCACTTTGTGAAGAACCATTTATAATATAATAACAATAATCTTGGCTCATTATACAAAAAGAGAAAAAAAAAAACTAGCTCGTTTGGTCATAAGTTTCTCCATTCACACTCCACTTTCTATATATGTAAACAGAGCCAGCTTGAACGAAAGACCACGACGCAACTTAAAATAGAACCAAAGAGTAAACACTTAACCAGACTACTTTTGTCCTCTCCTTTCTACTCTTAGGTAACCTCCAATGAAGAACTTAAAGATGGTATTTTTCAAGATCTTCTTCTTCTCATTAATGGCTGCATTAGCCATGAGAGGATCTTGGATCAACATAGAAGATCTCCAAAACTTCTTCCTCTATATTCAGAACAACCTCGAAACCATAACCCTTCTTTCATTTCCTCTGCTTTTCGTTTTAGCCATCTACATGTTTACCCGACCCAAACCCGTTTATCTCGTGGACTTCTCTTGTTACCTCCCACCGTCACATCTAAAGTTTAGTGTCGAAGAGCTCATGGAACAAGCGAGACGTGTAAGAGAAGCAGGCATGTGTTGGAACAACAAAGAAAACGAACATTTGGTTGAGTTTCAGCGGAAGATTCTTGAACGTTCTGGTCTTGGTCAAGAAACTGGCATCCCCGAGGGTCTCCAGTGCTTTCCTCTTCGGCAAGACATGGCGGCTTCTCGTAAAGAGACAGAGGAAGTCATATTCGGAGCTCTAGACAATCTTTTTCGCAACACCGGTGTAAAACCTGCTGAGATCGGTATTTTGGTGGTGAATTCTAGTACGTTTAACCCAACTCCATCACTTGCTTCCATGATTGTGAACAAGTACAAACTCAGAGACAACATCAAGAGTCTGAATCTTGGAGGAATGGGTTGCAGTGCTGGTGTTATAGCCATTGATGTCGCAAAGGGATTATTACAAGTACAAAGGAACACTTATGCCATTGTAGTAAGCACAGAGAACATCACTCAGAACTTGTACTTGGGGAAAAACAAATCAATGCTAGTCACAAACTGCTTGTTCCGGGTTGGTGGTGCAGCAATTCTGCTTTCCAACAGATCTAAAGACCGAGCACGCGCGAAATACGAGCTTGCTCACACCGTAAGGATCCATACCGGATCAGATGATAGGTCCTTCGAGTGTGCAACGCAAGAAGAAGATGAAGATGGTATAATCGGAGTTACCTTGACAAAGAATCTTCCAATGGTGGCTGCAAGGACTCTTAAAATCAATATCGCAACTTTGGGTCCTCTTGTTCTTCCAATGAAAGAAAAGCTTGCCTTCTTTGTGACTTTCCTCAAGAAGAAGTATTACAACCCAAAGTTAAAGAATTATACACCAGATTTCAAGCTTGCCTTTGAGCATTTCTGTATCCACGCTGGTGGAAGAGCTCTAATAGATGAGCTAGAGAAGAATCTTACGTTGTCTCCCTTACACGTAGAAGCATCAAGAATGACACTACACAGGTTTGGTAATACTTCTTCGAGCTCGATTTGGTACGAGTTGGCTTATACAGAAGCTAAAGGAAGGATGAAGAAAGGTGACAGGATTTGGCAGATTGCTTTGGGATCAGGTTTTAAGTGTAACAGTTCAGTTTGGGTGGCTCTGCGCAACGTTAAGCCTTCAATTAACAATCCATGGGAAGGTTGTATGGATAGATATCCGGTTGAGATCGAAATTTAATTTTATGGTTAGGCATTTCGGCTAACAGTCCCGAACTATCTGATCTTGCCTTTATTTTTGTGGACCATTTTTCTTATGTTTAATCTTTAAAGAGTTTTTTATCGTATGTTTGTTGTTATATTTGGTAGTCTTTTTTTGTTTTTTTTGGGGTACTTGTTATTTGTAATATCTACAGTATAGTCCTCGCATTTATTTGTTGGACCACTAGTAGACCTTTGAATTATTTCGTCTTCGTCAATTATAATTTGTTTGTTTGTTTGAAATCTCTGTCGTGAGTGATGGGTTCAATGTTTCGGCTGGGGTAATCAGATCCTATTTTTATCCGACTTTAATTATCCGATTTGGGTAACGTTTATTTTCTAAAACAGATAATTATTAGGGTCAAATATAATAATTACCCGGATACTAATTAACCATTTGGGTAAACTAAATTCTGAAACTAATTAAACAAACTAACAGTGAGAAAGTATAAACTCAAAAAAATAACAGTAATAATGCATTGTGATTTCTACATTTTAACCCTTCAAATTATGTGTGTTGAATTTTTTTGGGAATTGACTCGAAATTTAGTAGGTTGTCTATATTTATAACTAATATTCGGCTAACAATTAAGATTACTCTTAAAATATATTATACTATTTAGTTACTGATTTTATGAACCGTATAATAATATTATTATCCAGTTTTCTAACAAAGTTTATTCGTTGTATTTATATTTTATCCGGCTACTGGTCTTCTTTTCTGTAAGTTGTTAAAAAAATACAACCAACTTATTATAGATTGTCCGGTTAATTAAAATTTGTATCCGGCTAACAATTAAGATTACTTTTTGAACATATTCTAATATCCGGATACTGACTCTATTATATGGATCCGTCGCTTTTTCACCAGATTTGTTGCTACTTCTGACATATAGAGAGCCGAAAGACGCATTTAGGGGTAAAAATGTTCTAAAAACTATCTAAATAGTGTCACAATAGTGTCAGAGTTTCTCTCTGTTAGTTTGTCAAATACCCAAAAATGTATTGTTATCCACTGCAAAGATTCTTTCATAATTTTGAAAATGGATTTTTATAATATTTTTCAAAGTTAACACGAAAACTATCTCAAAATTAACTTTTTGCTAATATAACCGAATTATTCATAATTATCTGTTCAAATAGTGAATTTAATTATCAATATTACCCGTTCGGTAGTAATTTTAACTATCCAGACTACCCTTAGGTATTGAATGTTTGGATGTGCGGTCCAACGTGCGAACTCCAATTTTGTCACCATTCAACAAAAATGGAATAGTATTATGACACAATAATAGAAGTTACATTAATTGAATAAAGACAAAAAAACATACCATGTGCGGGACAAACGCAGTGYACCMCAAAGGAGTAAAAATATGTGTGGTTAGAGTGGTTTGAGGAGAGAAAGATAAAAATAATATTTTTTAATTAAAAAAAAATCAAACAAACTTTCGTCTATATAACACAATCTCATAGTGCACACACACAACAAAACACAAGAGCATTGTGCAGAGGAAAAAAAAACACAAGAGCATTATTTACGTGTTTACAACATATCATCAT